TGGTGTGTGATGGTGGGGTATAGAGAGATATCCGCGGTCCGAGTTTAGAGAAGGATGGGGACGGTGATTTTGGTGTAGGATGCGTTGCTAATAGCATAATGGATGGGTTGAAGTCAGCAAGATGGTTGGTGTTTCCGTCGCATTGCCTGCTTCTACTGATCGATTCAAACTGGGATATATAAAGATTTTCCTGAACTTGATTAAACACTTATGACTTTATACCGTTACGCGCGTAACGCGTTCACTAATCCGGCTTATCATCCGAGGCTTGAGAAGAATGTCTTAGTTCCATGAAAGCCAAGCTGATGCCTTACTTGTAAGCCGTCATACAAGGAGCGTGCATAATCGAGGCGTACCATCTAACAACCACTAGTCAGGTTGGGTGGACCTTGCGAGCTATCAGGAAGATGTGATTGGTCCATGCGCCCTTACATCAACCCATAATCGAAGTCGTCCATAGGCAACGGTTCTACCATGCTGAGTTCTCCAAACTCGCTACTAACTTCTTCGGCATCATAGTCGAAGTCGTCAAACTCGTCATCATGCTCGTTATCAATACCCTTGTCCTTAGCAGCATCACTGCCTTCCAAGACAAGAACCTCGGTAACAGCGACTTCGGTCCCTTTCTTTTGCAGCCGGACAGCAGAGTTCTCGGGGCTTGATAGATCGTGTGGTTCTGGGAACGATCTCGTTGTGCTATCAGGAAAGTTCTCGGGTTCTTCCATAGGTGTTTTATGCAGAGCCGGGGTGGATGATTTGACGTTCGAAGGGGGAAGCTCAGTCGCGGATACACCAGTGGAGGTGAAGGAAAGACCAGATAGATCGCTGTTGGAGGCTGGAGCCTTGGTCGGCTCTGGCTCTGTAAGATCTATCAGAGAGTTCGAAGAGTCGTGAGCCGCAGCAACCGGTCGACTTCGGGGCTGAGGCCTGACGACAGGCTCCTTTGTTTGCGCAGTCGTTGCCTTGCGTTTAGCCTCCTTTTGTGCCTGTTTCTTCCGCCTTTCTGCCTCTTCAAGAGCCCGTTCTTGTTCAGCGACCTTGTTGAAGTCTACATCACCGAGTCCGACTTTGACAAGTATCGTACCGACCAAGTACCGATACTGGTCGTGGCCACTGACAAGCTTGCTTACATCGATATTCTCCACGCCATGAACATTTTCGATCTTTTGTAGACCAGCGACACCTACCTGAAGCTTGGCAGATCGATAGAGGAAACCGAGTACGTAATCTTCCGTGCTGTGAACATTGACAACGCGTCCCGCAACGACTGATCGTATTTGCCTCCAACGCTTACTGTTCGCAGGGGCAGGAGTACCCATAAGGACAGCAGACTCAACAAGACCGAACGCGTGTTGTTCCGCGAGCTCGATCAGACACGCGTATACGACACGCGCACCTACTGAATAACCTGTGAGTGTGACGGGTCGCTTCCCTTGTACACCATCGATGAGAGCATGCGCAAGAACCTTGCCAGCCTTGTCGGCTCGTGCGAGTGCAACAAGAAAGGGGTTGTCCAAGACACTGGCAGCTTTTACAAGACCAAGAGGCCACAAACCTGCGTACAAAGCGCCAAGAAGCGTGCGACTGACGACAGTGTATGTGACGCCATCGAAAGCGTATCCAAAGAGTACATCGTTGAGGGAGTTGCCGAGACGCAGCATTGCATCAAGCTCGAAACGCAATGCGAATGGCTCAGTTGTACCAGAGTCGACCACCTCCCAAGGCTTGCTGACGTCGGAAGGGGAGCTTAGCCAGCCGCTAACACCAATGGATACGCGTAATCGATGCTGTTCACGTTTCTGTGGGTCGCGCGCATCTTGCTCATCAGCCCAATCGAGCTCGCGTTGATTCGTCGGTCGATCGGGATCTGGTACATTTAGCTTCAAGCAAGACTTCATCTCCGCTTTACATACCTTGAACCGGAAGGAATTCGAAATCTTGAACCTCCTTCGCATACTGGTCCATTAGACGCCCCGTCATCTTCGCACCGTAAGCTCCGAACAGTGATCCAACGAGCACCGAGCTGCCCGCCAATGCACCGAGATACGTCGAAACCACACCCAGGCCCAGCCCGCCCATGACAGTACCCAGGCCTGCGGCGAGTAAAGGCGCAGCAAGACCGCCAGTAACACCAATCAGGACCGCACCGCCCACAGTCGCGAGACCAACCTTCCAACGGCGTGACACAGCATCGTTTGACGCTTGGTTCTTGGCTGTCGCTTCGGCGTCCATCTGAGAGGCAGCCGTGGCTAGCAGACCTTGTGCAACCGACTTCTCATGCTCGCCCAGCAGATCAGCCTCTAATTTGAGACTGCTTGCGAGTCGCAGCAACAAGATGCGCGAATGTGCCGAGTATTGCTCCAAGCTCAGTAAGAGCAGCAGGAGGCAGTGCAAAACCAGCACACGCTTATCTTCCTCAAGGGATAGCAGCCTAGTCTCGATCACCTCATAGTGTCCGTGTCTTGTGTTCTTGGGTCGTGTGGGAGCCGCGTTTGCGAAGGGATCGAGGTCGTCGAAATCGATGAGCGAAGAGATGCCCTGGTTTTGTCTGTCGGCTTGGTCCAGCATTTGCTTCCGCTTTGCTTTCGCCTGCCGAACAGTCTCACCCCGTACAGAGAGGACGTCGCATATTCGATGCATGACACTTGCCCGCCATTTATCGAAAAATGTCAAGGCGCTTCGTCGCAAGGCTTGCATTTGTGTAGACTCATGCTCTTGTGATGATTGCCTAGTGGGAGGCGCTGGTTTGGTGGTCTGTCTCGGCTGGTCGAAGCTCATGAGATCTGGTGCCTGATTTCCAGGCTTGGGTGCGGGCGACCGGGTCGCAAGGGAGGGTTTCGGTTCGGGGTTGTTGTATGGCTCAAAGGTGGCCGTGAGATTGTTTCGTATGGCATCGATGCTCAGGAGGACGAGGAGTGCCAGTTCGACGCGTAGGGCGGGTGTCTCGAGGATCGAGGTGAGCGAGGCCCCCTCATCTTTGCTTGCTCTTTCTGGAGCATTACCAGATATTGCACTGGCAAAGTTGGAAAACATGCCGGCCCAGTAGAATGACAAAGACCAGAAGACGAAAGAGTACTTCCAGTAGGGTCGCTTACACGGGACGGGGCATCGTTAACCACGCCACTTTGATTGACAGGGCGCCTGAGTCGCAGAATCCGGCCCCCATATTATCAGGTACCACCATCCTTCAGATTGCGCTTAGCGCGAAGATATACATAGAACATAGTGCTCGTCAGATGTGACTGCGCGAGAACGAGAGGCGTGCGTGTTGTGATTTTGGTGATGATGGGACGAAAGGTTTGTCATGATTGTCGCGACGCGGCGTCACTGGATCTCGCGACAGCAGGCCCCGGGGTGGGATGGCTCGCTCCACTTTGGCCGGCCCGCGCCTAGCGCGATTCGCCCACGTGGATGCCATTGGAAGTGCAAGTTCCTTCATCACTCACGCCTTCAATGGCATCTGCGCCGGTGGTTTACTGCAAGCTGTTGTATTCTACTTTACATGTGTCAATGGCATCTTAGTTGATCAACGCGAACAAGTCATTGCGAGCCACATGGAAAGTTCGAACAGTTTTAGATTCTGTGGACACCCGAGATGTTTCTCCACCTATGGTATAATTAGTCTTCAGCTCACTTGCTCCTCTTGTAGATCTTCTGGAGGAAAACCTCGAAGACGACCTTCTTCAAGCCTTCGCTCTCATCAACCTTGTCGATCTTCGCCCTCAGCTCGGTAACGCGCTCCTCTTCCCACTGCTCGTAGAACTCCTTCAGCTTAAGCTCATGGTACAGCTCCTTGACCTTGGCCTCCTTCTGCGAGTCTTTCTGACCGTAGTTCTCCTCTAGCACCTTTCGTTGCTCGGGAGTGACCTTCTTCAGGGCCTGGTTGATCAGCCATGAGCACTTGTTGTCCATGATGTCGGTGCCAATCTTGCCGAGAACAGTGGGGTCAGCAAATGCATCGAGGTAGTCGTCTTGTGCTTGGAAGTATTCGCCCATGGGGATGAGAATGTCTTCTGCGGTCTGGAGGTTCTTTGGTGTAGCTGCGCCGGCATAGTAGAGTGCCAGTGCGACTGGGAGGTAGAAAGAGTAATAGGCAGTCTTGTAGATGACAATGAAGGTGAACTTGTCGAGACTGAAGTTGTCAAGGTTGACATCGTCTTCGGGGGCAGTCAACAGATCACACAATTGACCGCATTCGGTCTGGAATGTGACCTCGTGGAACAACTCCATCATGTCGACGTAGCTCTTCTCCTGACGGAAATGCTTCTTGAGAAGCACGTAAATGGCCGACTCCAGCATAAAGGCATCGTTGATGGCGATCATGCCGACCTTGGGTGCAAGGTACCAGCAGGGATTGCCACGACGGGTCTTTGAAGAGTCCATGATATCGTCCGAAACCAGGAAGAAAGCCTGGAGGAGTTCGATCATCCATCCGAGCAGGGCAGCACGAAAGTACTCTTCTGATGATGGGTCAAGAGACTTGTTCTGCAAAATTGAAGTGGTGTCGATAACAGACATGCCACGGTTGCATTTTCCGCCAACAGTGTTGTAGTCCAGTGACTATGGGATATGGTGAGCGAGCTGGACCCTGACTGCGTTGCTCGGGATATATCTACCTTGGTGAACCAATCAAGAGACTGCTGGGGCAGCTTGTATGATTTGCAGTGTTCCTGCAGGTCGGCCACAATGCGCGGCCATACGCTCTCGAATTCTTTCAGTGTGGTGGGCATCTTGAACGCAATGAATTGGGTATCTCTGGACAGCAGTGTTCAAGATAGAGGGGCAGTAGCAGATGTAGGGGTGCGGGCGGTGAAGGGGCTAATTTCCGCGGCGCAGCGGCGCAACCTTTAACCGCTCGCCGGGCCATTGTTTGTGCCCCACCCTACCACGACAGGAAGCTCCCCATCAACACGCGCATCGGCGGCAGCAACATCACGCGATAGAGCCCTGAACCATGATCTGAAGCGCGCAAATAGTAATCTCTTCCTGATAGCGACGCGATGGGAACTCTATCGCCGGCCGACGAGGCCCAACTCAAGGCCCAGCTCCAGGACGCCGTCATCGGCTGCACGGAGCGCTGTCTCTATCACTCGGCGAAATGGTGAGTACCAATGGTTACGTAGACTGACTTTTGCATGCTGATATTGACAAGGGCCGCAGAATTACTCGATTCGCTCCCATCGGCCGATGATGAAGGCTCGGACACCGACGTCGACTCCCCCATGTCGGATGCGCAACCGCCGCAGACACCCAATCTCGTACGCAAAGACCCCATCGAAGCACGCCTAGAAGCACGTGAGACGCACAAGTTCCTCCTCGCCAAGACATACTTCGACTGCCGCGAGTATGATCGATGCGCCGCCGTCTTCCTGCCTGGCCCTCTACCCAAGGGCGCCTCACAGGCACCTGCTACGCCTACAGCAAAGGCGAAGCAAGGCGCCAAGGGGAAGGCGAAGATGGTCACGCCATCCAAGTCCAAGCTGTCCAACGATACAATGAAGGGCATCAGTCAGAAGGCGCTGTTCCTTGCCCTCTATGCCAAATACATAGCTGGGGAGAAGCGCATGAACGAGGATAGCGAGATGATTCTCGGCCCTCAAGACGGAGGTGTCACATTGAACAAGGAGCTGCCCACAGTATCTGCCGTTCTTGAAGAGTGGTTCAGAGACCTGCCCAACAGCGGGCGCCAACCGCAAGGCTGGCTGGAGTACCTATACGGCATGGTCCTGGCCAAGGGAAAGAACGAGCAGCTTGCTATCGACTACCTGATCAAAAGTGTGCACCAATACACCTACAACTGGGGTGCGTGGCAGGAGCTACAAGCTCTACTGACCACCATGGAAGAGCTCAATGGCATCGTCACACGCCTACCGCAAAACCTCATGACTTTCATCTTCCATGTTACGTCATCTCAGGAGCTCTACGTGGTCAACGAACAGATTCATACTTCGCTGTCGCAAATACTGACCATTTTCCCGTCATCGGCCTTCCTAAAGACCCAACGGGCATTGCTCCACTACCACAACAAAGACTTCGACGATGCCGAACAGATCTTCTCGGACTTGCTCGTATCAGATCCACATCGGGTCGATCATCTCGACAATTACTCCAACATCCTGTATGTCATGGGCATGCGACCCAAGCTTGCCTTCTTGGCACAGCTCGCCACAGCGACCGACAAATTCCGACCGGAGACATGTTGCGTGGTGGGCAACTACTACTCGCTCAAGTCGGAGCATGAGAAAGCCGTCATGTATTTCCGAAGAGCTCTGACTCTAGATCGAACCTTCCTTTCCGCCTGGACGCTCATGGGACACGAGTTCGTCGAGATGAAGAACACCCACGCCGCTATTGAATCGTACCGGCGCGCTGTTGATGTCAATCGCAAAGACTACCGCGCCTGGTATGGACTTGGTCAGACATACGAAATGCTGGAGATGCACTCATACGCTCTTTTCTATCACCAACGCGCCGCTGCGCTGCGACCCTACGATCCGAAGCTATGGATGGCGGTTGGCCAATGTTTCGGCAAAGTGGGCAAGATCATGAATGGCATTCGATCATACAAACGCGCGTTGGTCGCAGGCTCATATTATGATGCTGGTGTCGGAGCCTCTTTTGGGAGCAGTGAAGTTACTGGTCTCGGTGGAGGTATCCTCGATCCAGAAGTACTCTACCAGATCGCCCTGTTGTATGAGAGGATAAACAACATGAACGAATGCGCGGCATACATGGAGCTAGTGCTTGCACAAGAAGAAGGGCCAGACTACGAAGAAGTGGGCTCTGAAGCTGCCGGTGGTGTCGGCGTCACTGCAACGACAAGCAAAGCCCGGCTCTGGCTCGCTCGGTGGGAGTACATGCGCGGCATGTACCAACGGGCCATGGAGCTAGCGAACGAGCTCTGCCAAGACGGCGTAGAAGTAGAAGATGCGAAAGCACTAGTGAGAGACATCAGAGCGCGCATGGAGCGCGGCGGAGGAGACGCGGAAGATTGATTAGACACAGCGTCTCGAAAGTTTGGGCATTTGCAGGCGTACAGGTATGATACCCAAGCAATACTGGATCGCAACATGTATCATATACATTACTACTTGATAGCGCGTTGCAGGATCTCGATCCATTTCCAGTTCATCATTACATACGTGCTCGGTCCCGTGACGCTGAACGCCTACTTGCCGTACAAATGCGCAGTCCTACCTTCACCCCACCGCGGGTTTCCACCACTGTCCTTCTCCCAGCGCTTATCTTCATCTTCCATTTCCCGCATCCGTGCACCTCCGTCCTTTTTCTTGATCCAGGGTTCCGTGTTGTCGTCTTTGCCCTCCGCACTTGCGATCTTGCGACTGGCCTCTGCTAGAGCCAAGTCTTCGATCTCTCGCATCCGCAGCTCGGCTGTGATGTAGTTTAGCGTTCGTTGCATGTCGCGTGCATCGTGACCGCGGCAGTCTAGGATGTAGAGTTGGTGTGTTATTGAGGCTTGAGCAGAGATGAGAGATGGAGTGGGCGAGAGGCGGATGGTGGTGGGTGCCCAGGGGTGGGGATGCGTGAAGGCGTTGAGGGCCAGGGAGGTTGACATTGTGCTTGGTTGGTAGTGTTATGCTGTTATGTTATCGAGATAGTCCTAGGCTGTGGATTTTGACGTATAGAGGTAGATCTAGGACGGGGATGTGGGTGAGGGAGAGTGGGGATTGGGTTGGGTACGTTAGTCGCGAAATTGTGAAGGCTCGCTGACGTGACAGGAACACCTCAACTTGTCTGTTGTTCAACGCACAACGTTTCTGTCGACTATTGTGAAGAGGCATCGAACATTCGAATATCGTGTTTGCAAACACGGTTCCGAGAGGTGGTGTATGCACCACTGGCAAAGACACCTCATGGCGTTCCCTAGATCGTATCCGTCGTCAGTGAACTAGGTCTCCTGTCACAGAAGGCTAGTGCGCAACAGCTGCGTGTTCGCGGCTTTCCAAGACCGTGATTCAATCTGTACGCTACCAAGTACATAAAGTTTGTTTCCCAACCCTTCTTTTGACTATACTCACCACCAGCATCAGCAAAACCTCGCCAACGACAGATCGACCCGATAAGTAAACCCATCGCAATACCGCATAACATCGAGACCATCTACGCGAACCTTGCCTATCATGCCTTACGGAATGTCATTTTCATATATACATCACCCTAACTTTTGCGGAATGGATGACTATCCTGAGCATCCTTGGCCCCTGGATTGGATCGAGAGGCAGAGTCTGGACTACCTTCTTCAGACACACAACAACATGTACAGAGAATTGCAGAAGTTCCCGGAAAGAAGCAACGTTCGAGGCACGGCTAGTAGGATCGAAGAGTATCTTAGGACGCACGGCGCGGTGATGCTAGGAGAAGTGGGAGGGGGTGGTAACATCAACATGCAGATATCAGCGCCAGGATCAGCACCAGTCCAGGCGCAGATGCCAGTTCAACAGTCGCCTCAGCAGAATGTCGTCGTTCATCAGCAGGTACAACAGCCACCAGTACAACAACCCGCACAGCAAAATGTCATCTATCATCAGCAAGTACAGCCGCAGCTGCAGACGCAGCCGCAGCAGAACGTGGTTTACCAGCAACTACAACAACCTCAGGTGCTCAGCATTCCTGCTCCTGTGGCCACACTCACTATGACATCTACGCCGGTGCAGGGTTTTGTGATTGGAGGGATTGTTTCACCACGCATCGGGTATGTGAGAAGCCCTAGGAGCTTTGGAAGGCGAGGGTTCTTCGATTACGACAGTGATAGTGATAGCTTCTAAGGCTAGTTTGTACGGTGGATGATCTTTAGTGAAGGGTGGGGGATGGTGACGACGATGATGATAGTGTACTGAGGCATTCCATTAATGATGAATTTGAACAATGCATATTTACACTCTACGCTTATCTTGTTGGCGCCAGTACTGCTAATAGTGGTGTCAATCGCGAAATGAGAATTTTATTGCTCGTGTACTCGTCCACACGTACATCAGTGTTTAGTAGATGGAATGTACGTTGAGGCTGTCGCGAAACTCGATACACTCAGTAAGGTGAGTACAAGTATGTTGTTGATAATTCGACATCTTAGTTCATCATACAGATCATGACACGCCGACACAGGGAATGTTTTCTTCACAGTGATCGCACTCTCTACGTCAAGTCTTGGTCGTGTTTCTGCGTAACGACAAGGTCTGAGGATCACATTTCCACAGCACGCTGGCAGTTAGTGACACGCAAGAGCCCAGGATTCAATGTCTGTTTAGGATATAAACTACCTCCGTAAAGCGTTCTCTCTCTCAAACGTTACCATTCCTAGTCAATTACAAAGCGCATCTCCACCAACTCCAAGCAAAGCCAACTTGTACTCTTCGCAACACACAGTAAACCCACTCACAACACCTCCCATACGTACACAAAATGTTTCGACCATCATCCGGTTTCGATTTTTCCCTACCCTCACATCCTTGGCCGTCGCGCCAGTTGAAATCTTACTCGGATGCCGACCTCCGCAGTCTTTACGTGGAAATTGGCGACAAAATTGATGAAGGGACGTACGGCAGGATTGGGGTATTTGACGCAGAGCTCACTCGAGCAAGGATCTTGCAAATCCTTGAAGATAGGGGTAGCACGGGCATGGGTATAGGCATGGGCTTGGGCTTCTCTGGGTTCGGCTTGGGAGTCCCCGGCATTCTACCGCGCATGTCGCCGGCACTCTCGATTACACAGACAGCGCCAATGCCAAATGTTACCATCCAGACCATTCCATCTCCACAGCAAAACATCACCTTCCAGCCCGGTTTTGTCCCACAGCAAAACATCACCTTTGTACCCCCTCCAACCCCAGCTCCTCCACCGCCCCCGGCAGCGCTGCCAGACAAACATATGATTCAAGAATTTGGCCCATACGGCAATTACCTTGGACTACGCCCCGAAACGGAGAAGGAGAAGGATGACAGAGAATATGCGGCTTGGAAGGCGGAGCATGGAGCTAAGTAGGAGGCGTCAGGTTACGTTGGGCGAAAGGGGAAAGCACATAGTTTAGGAGGAGGGCAGGATGAGCATGCCGAAGTCGGAATTTGTTGCGCATATGGAAATGTCGAGGGACTGTAGCTTGATGAATTAAACACGAAATTCATTTGGCAATAGCGTGTTCGGATTTGACCTCTAAAATGTCACACGGATGTGCGGGTTCAGGCTGCTGTGTATCACCACGCTATGGCGCTGTCGAGCGATCAGCGCTAACATGTGTTTGCATCGCGAGAATTTGGAACGGTACAAGCCCATATTTTAGATACATCTGGCATTGAATTCGTGCCCCAACGTGGTGATAGCTACCTAGGTATAATTATGGACGATCGTGGTGAAGTGTGAGCGAACCTTCCAAGGTCGGGATGCTTAGTAATAATGACATCATCGGCTTTCATTCCTGCCGCGTTCTCCTCTAGTGCTGTTGTGCCTAGGTGGAGAAGCTGCAAGTTCCTACAACCACAATGATCCTATCCTGCTCTTTACATCAGCATCTGTGAACGTTTCGACCTGGTGTTGCTTCATCATATCTAGTTTGAAGATTGAGCGCAGCTCACCGAGCCTGGCGCGTCACAACCTGGAATGCCCGCGATGTTTGCGGCAAACACGTATGAGGATGATCGTATCTTCACAGGCCGACGCTTGACATGCACAATCATCGACACAACGTGGGTATTGGAAGCCGCCCTGGGGATTCCATGATTAGGCATCACACCAAAAGCACGCCCGCAGTACAAAACCGTCCTTTTCTATGCGCATGCCCTCACTCTCGTACTTCCTGTATTGCTATCTATCATCTTCCTCCTCGCATCATTTTGATATCCCGATTTACCTTTTTTATCTTGCGACATGATCACTTTCCACATTACAGGCCGATTTCGCCGTAAAGTGCTGGATCGTCCGCACCCGATGTCAATTTTTAGGTTGGCAACTTACCCTGACGATGAACTGATCATGGCTTTTCATATCATACTAGAAGAGATAGAAATCTTACGAAGCAAAAGCATCCTCGGCATCTCGTTCTTGGCTAACGATTTGATGGAAACCGCTCAGAACATTGTGGAGTTGGTGTTCACAAGTCATGGCGGATGGGCTTTCCTCCAGCTTGGACAGCACCAGCAGTCCTTCCTCCAGCAGCTGCAGCAGAATTACTCTTTCAACTTGCCCCAACCAAACTTCTTCATCAATCAGCAGATACCACCACCAGCGATGATTGGCCAGGCTCCCACCCAGAACGTTGTAGTGCACTCACATGTAGCTTCAGCTCCCACCCAGAACGTTGTTGTGCACTCGCATGTAGCCCCAGCGCCCGCTCAAATCCAAGGGCCCTCCGAACAAGACAAAAACGAGCTCCATCTTGACCGACTCAACAAAGAAAACAATCACAACGAGAAGATGAAGAACAGATACGAGGATGAACTAGCAGTGAAGGATCGAGCCAGGTTGGAAGCTCAAGAGAAGAAGACGATCGAGGCAGCGGAAGAGAAGGCTCGTAAGTTCAAGGAGGCCGAGGAAAGATTCGAAAGGAACAAGATTGAGAACAATTTGAAAGAAGACACAATACTGCGCATTGACGAAGCGAAGAGCAGACAAGACGAGCTGGATCGTAAGACGCGTGAGATGACGGAGAGAACAGAGCAGGCAAACATTGATGCTGCACGAAGGTTTGAGCAAACACGTCGGGAAGCAGCCGCGAAAAGGGAGCAGCAGAGGCGAGACGAGGAGAGGCGAGATCAAGAGAGGCGAGATCAGGAGAGGCGGGATCAGGAGAGGCGAGATCAAGAGAGGCGGGATCAGGAGAGGCGAGATCAGGAGAGACAGCGACAGCTCGATGCCTCCAGAAACCGAACAAATGACTTGAATAATCAATCATACAACCAGCAGCGCATGCTACCGGAACGCGAAAGACCACGGCGGTCCTCACCGGTTCCACAAAATCAACTCGTTTCTGACGATGACGATGACGACTCCGACAGCGACGAAGAGAAGCGAAAAGATCCGTACGAGCTTATTGGTTTGCCCGACAGAGGGCGCACACCAGTCAAAGACATCGAAACTACCCAACGAGTGCTGAACAAGATTCATCAGAAGACTCTCGATAGTGCGATGTCAGAATCCAAGAGACAACATGCTGAGAAACGTATGGTCGAGATCAAGTGGGCAGCGGCCATTCTCTTGGATGAAATGAACAAGAGGGCTTATGATGAGGCTGGTGCTATATTCCCCCATGAGCAGCAAGCGTGGAGGAAGAAGAGTAAGTGAACATTCCGAAATGAATGAGACAAAGACTAATCGACGCGAGTGTAGATGGTATCAGTGGTGCTGGCGGTGGGAGGTAAATCTCAGGGTACACTTCTACAAGTATTCCATCTTTCCTGAGACAGCCATAGTCATATTCCGTTAGTACATGAAGCATTTCATCTGTGATCTCGCTTTGTAAATACGCATGCACATCATCAGTAATGATAAAAGGTTTGCTTGACAATTTAGACGAAGCTCGTTGCTGTCGCCAACACCACAGCAAATATGAGAATTCTTACGCGAATG